GAACTCTGTGGCAGAGCTAGCAAAGATGTCTGGTGGCCAAGAGTCTAAATCATTAGCCACAAGCGGATCCTTCTTCTCTACACATCATCATCCCTGGCTGACAAACCATTGGCAGCAGGACTCAGGAGTTCATGCGGACAGAAATAGAAAATAGGTCACATGCTTGGACATTCACATTGTGGTTGGAGCTACTAACCTGAGAAAGAGAAAAGCTTAGAAATATCAAATGCTCATTAACATTTAACTTTTTTGGTTACTTGTATAACTGATTAAGAATCCTTCCTCCTCGATTAGGAAGTTGCATGCCATGTTTTAGCTCAGAGGATATTTTTAAGGTAGCATGTGTCATCTTTGGACACAGCTGTTAATACTGGAAAAATGGCAACTCATGACTTATTACTTACAAGAAATAATCATAGACTCATCTGAATCTTTCAAATATGAAACTTATGAAGGCTCTTGGTAAATTTCACCTCACATCTGCAACCAGCACATGACTGGGTAATCAAAACATTTAAAGCTTTATTCTCAGTGGTTGATGAGCTCTCTAACTACCAACCAGCAGCAGCAGGGAAAAAGTCCTTGAGAAGCAATCATTGTTTGATGACATGAACAGGCTGCTACTACTAGTTGGAATGAAGGAAGAAACACGATAATTCAAAAATCTTTAATTTTCTGTGTTTTTTCCCCCTTTTTAAATCTGACTACACTGAATTCTATTCTTCCAGACAGGCATCTGCACTATACCATTACCACAGATTGATTAGCTGCTGCACACAAGGAAGATTATATCCTGCAGATTATGTAACATCTGAAGATGATTTGGTTACGTACAAAGAGTTTGTAGGAAAGCAGGGACAGAAAAAGCACTTTGTAGATCTATATTACCAAGTGAAAATTCAGTAGCAAAGGTATACTGGAAAATTGCATCAGCTAATATAAAATATTGTAGTTCAGCTGACTTCAGAGAAGCTGTGACAATTTACATCAGCTGATGATCTACCTCAGTGTGTTTGGGAGCCTGGTTGGTGTAACCATCCAGACTTTTACAGCTGCTGTTGATTTATTGGGCCAATTTATGGACTCATTTTATATAATTAAAGTGAACTTCCTTCAGTGTAGCTATGTTAAAGGATGCAATGGCAAAAGTCTCAGTTAAAAGGCATGCATGATCAGAAAGGTGACTGCATAAAAAAGGCATGTCCTTATTTGACAGATCTTCTCTCCACGTGTATATTCTCCATAATTGTTTGTTCACTATCTTTTATGCCTATTAGTACTTGCTGAGCTCATACAGTAAAAATGATCTAGATGCTCTGTTTTGCACCTTATCAATAGAATTATTACATTTCAGCTGTATAGTCTTTGCTTTGAGGTGTATAATTCTATAGAATTACTGTGCTGACAAAAAGAACACAGCTTGACTTTCAGATCCCAGGATTTGCACAACTAATAGAAAGACCATCCCTTTAATTAGAAACCAGTGAACTGAGAACTAGCATGTAGAATAATCACGAGATACATGTACAATGACTTTCACATGGAATATCCAGCCGGCAAGAGACAGCTGCAGTCACATTGTGATGTATTATATCTTCATAATCAATAAGAAGAATGGATGGACACCCTGGTTCTTTTTATATGCACACTGATTAATTCAAAAGTTTAATTTCAAACAGCTTCAGAGGGGTAGTCAAGTTAGTCTGTAACTAGAAAAACTTAAACAACCAATAGTCTAGCAGCACCTTAAAGACTAACAAAATATGTAAATGGTATCACATGAGCTTCAGTCATCTGAAGAAGTGGGTTGTGACCATGAAAGCTCATTATACCATCTTCCCGTTTTGTTAGTCTTTAAGGTGCTGCTAGACTATTCATTGTTTAAGTTTTTTAATGTCAAACAGTACATATTCCAACAGACCTAACTCTAGATTAGAGGATATCAAGCTATGATTATTTGGAGCTTGTAACCTAGTAAGTGGTTATTTGTTTTTGTACTGTACACCATTAAATAAAACAATTCTCCCCCTCTCCCCCCCGCAGCCACATAATGTATCAGATTGGCCTGTATATGTGAACCTCCTTCAGAGCAAAGACCTAACCATGCCCCAGTGACAAAGATCCCAGACACTGTGCTTGGTTGTCTGTTCATATATATTTGACCACTGCTGGATGGTGTGTCAGACCTGTAAACGTATCACCTTCTAATGACTGCCCACCAACAGAGGATAGAAGCCCTCCCACTACTACAGAAGTGAGTGTGTTCATAGAATCATAGGACTGGAAGGGACCTCGAGAGGTCATCAAGTCCAGCCCCCCGCCCTCAAGGCAGGACCAAGCTCCGTCTACACCATCCCTGACAGATGTCTATCTAACCTGTTCTTAAATATCTCCAGAGAGGGAGATTCCACCACCTCCCTTGGCAATTTATTCCAATATTTGACCACCCTGACAGTTAGGAATTTTTTCCTAATGTCCAATCTAAACCTCCCCTGCTGCACTTTAAGCCCATTACTCCATGTCCTGTCCTCAGAAACCAAGAGGAACAAATTTTCACCTTCCTCCTTGTGACACCCTTTTAGATATTTGAAAACCACTATCATGTCCCCCCTTAATCTTCTTTTTTCCAAACTAAACAAGCCCAGTTCATGAAGCCTGGCTTCATAGGCTTCTCTAGACCTTTAATCATTCTTGTCACTCTTCTCTGTACCCTTTCCAATTTCTCCACATCTTTCTTGAAATGTGGCGCCCAGAACTGGACACAGTACTCCAGCTGAGGCCTAACTAGTGCAGAATAGAGCGGCAGAATGACTTCACGAGTTTTGCTTACAACACACCTGTTGATACAACCTAAAATCATATTTGCTTTTTTTGCAACAGCATCACACTGTTGACTCATATTCAACTTGTTGTATGGTTATATATCAGCTTAGCAGGAGATTAGTCAAAAAATCCCCTACCTAGTTTATGCTTGATACAGATTTGTTTTCTTCTCAATTACCATATATAAAACACAAGGATTCATGTTCTGGCTCGCAGGGAATTTCATCAAACAGATTTATGCTTGATACAGATTTGTTTTCCTTCTCAATTACAATATATATAACACACGGATTCATGTACTGGCTCGCAGGGAATTTCATCAAACAGAGCTAGTTGGTATTAAGGACTGGTAAAGATAAGCCATGCCCATAATGCACCAACTGTAAACTATGCACTAGATACTGTTAAGTAGCTACGGCAGAGGTCCTCAAATTGTGTTCTATGGGCCACTACCTGATGTGCCATAGAGAGATGACCTATCTCTGGGTATAAATAAACTACACCCCTTTTTTGATAAAGGGATGTAAATTAAACGTATCAAAAATGCAAATGAAGTAGGGATTTAAATACCCCGCGCTTCATTTGCATAATGGCAGCCGCCGCCTTTTTTTTAAAGCTTTTCAGAAAAAAACGGCAGTTTAGACAGGGCATTTTTGACAGAAATGCCCCGTTTCTAAAGATCCTGTACTCCTCACTGTTGAAAATGCCCCCTCTAAACTGCCGGGGGGGTTTCAAAAAGCCCCATTTTGGAAAAAAAGTGGCTGCCGCCATTATGCAAATGAAGCATGGGATATTTAAATCCCTGCTCCATTTGCACTTTCGACGTGTCTAATTTACATCCCTCTGCCGACAGAGGAGTGTAGTTTAGACACACCCTCTGAGCCTGAAGGAAGAACAAGCAGGTGAATTGGAAAAGGGATGGAGCAGGATATTAAGCAAAGGCTGGCTCTAGCTGGCACTGTGGACATGTGAGAGGTATGTTTCTGAGCCTACTGGTTTAGGTAGTTTGGCAGGTTATGAGGCTAGAGTCCTACCCATAATGCAAAAATCCTGTCTCCCAATGTTTTCACTTTGAAAATCTAGTCAATGTACAAGAGAAAGGTACAGGCTGGACCATCCTCATCTGCCACTATCAGGACCTGACCTGTCTCGAACAAGGGGATTTACCAGACCAGGGGTGGTCCTTCCCAATATGGCCCATTCTGAACTCCTGTCCCCTGCTTGGGCTCCAGCCTGGCACTGCTGCTGCCTACCCGGCTGTGTCTCCCCAGGTTGGAGCTCCCTAGCTGCTGCTGCCAGACCCTAAGCTCCAGGGCCGGAGCTCCACAACCATGGCTTGACCCTGATCTTTGTCGCTTGCGCTGGCACTCCCTGGCTGTGGCCAGGGCCTAAGCTCTATGGCCACTGCTGACCCCTGCTACCTCCTGGTCACAGGGGGCAGAACTTTCTGCTGTGCTGCCCACTCCTCCCTGCTAAGCCACTGCCCTCCCCATGGGTCTCCCAGCTGAGCCACCACCCACATGGGTCTCCCAGCCGAGCCACCACCCCTTTCTTCCCCACTGCACTCCTGTCCCATGGCCCGACTTCCCTATACCTGGGAACTGCTGGACCATGGATGTTACCAGGCCAGAGAGTTCCGGTTAAGGGAGGTACAACCTATAGGAGATTATATGAAGCAGAAAGATTATGCTACAGAGTGTGAACTTTTAGGACTTAGCCTGCAGTAATGTATGGTGATTAGTAATGGGAAAGTGTTACAAGATTTGGCTTTGATACAAATCCAAAAATTTGAATTTTTGAGGTCAGATTGGAAAACTCTCGAGAATGGGTTCCCTTATGAGTTAGGTCTTGCTCTCAATGTGCTTGGAAATTTTTTTCTGGAAATAGTTCAATCCTGCCATTTCTGGCTGAAACTAGAAAGTTCAGGATTGTGGAAAATGAACGAAAGATTTTAAAATAAAATCCATATTCAGGGTCTGGATACAGGTTCAGGTAGATGGTGCCTTTATTTAAGTTAGTTCATTCATACCCAGTGCTGAAATGAGCATCAAAACAATCAACTTATTTTCCCAACTGACTGGATCTTGAACATAGTGAGTGTGTGCTGTGCACATAGCGGATAATGCTCCCTGTAACAATCAATGGAATGGACAAATTGGTGTATTAGATGATCTTACCAGTACAGTTGATGAATAACTTGGATGCTCTGTAGAGAACGACATAGCAGAAGTTTCACAAGAGGGCTTTCAAGACTCCATTCAAACTTGAGCACCTTAACAAATATAGGAACAGCATTCACTTACACATTTTTTCTGTCGCATTCCCTTTAAAGCAAAATAGTTCCAACAAAGGTTTTATTTATTTATGCATTAAATGTGCTAACCCAACAGATGCTGTATATCACCCAAAATGCAGTGGGCAAAGGCAACTCAGGTCTTTAGTGTCAATATTTTTTGTGAGGACAATAGAGGTGCAGAGACTAAGTTCACTCTGATCCAGTGATACGTACACATCATTACACTGAAAATTAAATTCAAAGTCCTAATGATTCCCTGTGATTAAAAACAAGTGTTTTTTAAAAAATATTGGCAATATTATTGCACCTACTGGCCCAAACTGAGATTAGAGCCCTATTGTACTAGGCAATGTTTGACTATATTGTAAGAGAAATTCCCTGTCTGAAAGAATATAAAGTCTAAACAGACAAGACAGATAAAAGGTGCAATTGAAAAGACTTGCCAACACTACACAGCAAGTTAGTGATACAGCTGAGAATAGTATCTAGGTCTCTGAAATGCAATCCGGTGCCATATTCACTGGACCATGCTTCCCTTCTGTTGTTACAGTTGTAAAATAGGGTAATTTGGGACTCATCATTATTTACACAGCACCCAAGTCCTTTTTCACCGTTGGGCTAAATGACACAAACTAGTTTAGATGTAGAACACAAAGACTACTATGGGAACAGAAAAAAAGGATAGAGCAGAGAAAAAAACCCAATGAGGTCTGAAGATTAAGGAATAAAGTGAAAATTATTGAAAGTCAAGGTGAATTAGATCTTGTCAAGGAAATTGAAATAAAGGTGAAGGGTTTTTTTTGTTTTGGTAATTATATGAATAAAAGAGAAAAAAGGAAGGGATGAGGCTGGGTCACTGTGCAATGTGGATGGGAAGGAAATTTAACAAAAACTAAATGGAAATTTCAGTGCATATTTCAATAAGGGTGATAATGGAGAACATGGGCATGTATGTGTAGCTTATTTCGAGTAAATTTTGAAATACCTTATTTTGTAATTTTAATTTCAAAATAATCTGCTATTCCGAAATGTTCCTTAGTCCTTGTGGAACAGGGTTTACAGGGATGTCAGAATAGCGAGCCTGCTATATTTCAAAACAATGGTTGTGCTGATAAGACATGGGATAGCTATTTCAAGATACCTCTGGTATCCTACAATAGCTCTGCAGTGCAGATGTAGCCTCTGTGTATACAAATGAAAATGACTGTATCTGTAATAGAAGAAAAATTTAAAGAGAGTAAACATGCTCACCATGAGGTAACTTTCATCCCAGAATACCGAAACAACTGGCACATGGAATTGCTCATTTTGTACCAAGGATTTTTAATAAATATATCTATTGGTGGTAGTGTATAACTGAAGAAAAGCTAACATCATGCCTATATTTAAAAAAAAAGGGGGGAGGGCGGACATGGTTTAGGCAATTAAATACATCCTTCCAGATGAACCTGATTCCCTTCTTTCAAAAAAACAGACTCTTCAGATAAGAGAAGTGCAGTGGATTTAAAATACTTGGATCTCAGTAAAGCATTTAACATGATACCACATAGGAAAGTATTAGTTAAATGAGAGAAGACGGGGATTAGTACAGGAATTGTTTCAAGTGGGTAAGGAACTGGATAAAGGAGAGAAGGCAGTGGGTTGTGCTGAAAGGTGAACTAATAGACTAGAGAACTGTTTCTAGTGAAATTCCTGAAAGATTGGTCCTGGGATTAATCTTATTTATGATCCCAGAACAAAAAGTAGGTGGTGTGCTAATGATACTTGGTGATGATACGAAGTTGGGAGGCACCACCAATACATAGGAGTATTGGAACATTACACAGGAAGATATGCATGATCTTGCATTGGAGTAAGAGAGAGGAGAGGAAATTCAATGGAACAAAGTGCAAGGGTCTAATAATAAATATTTCAGCCACAAGCTAAGAGGCTCAATATTTGGAAACGACAGAAGAAGAGTGAGACCTGTTTTTACTGGTTAATCACAGAATGACTTTGAATAAGGCTATGTTTATGTCACAGAGACGATGAAATCTGTGATTTTCATAGACCTCCATAACACTTTCTGCTTCAGTCCTTTTAGGATACAGGATTGGAGCTGCCAGCTAGCAGGGGCTATGGCAGAGCCCTAGAGAGGGGCGACCGCTTCCCGAGGGGGGCTCCTGCACAATTTCAGTGACAGGCAACAGCCTCTCAGGAAGTGGGAGAGGGAAAGGATGGATTTTTCTCAGCAATGTATTGGGGGCTGCGCATGCGCGGCGCATGGCACGCGCGAGCCTCTCTCAGTACTATCGTGCATGCATGGCCCCCCTCCCGTCAGTTCCTTCTCTATCCGGCAAATAATATATTAAGATGTTATCATAAGGGCATTCCGAAGTAGAGGGGAGGAAATGAGGGTAGTGGAGCACCCCCAGGGACGCTCATCTTGAAGAACATCAGTTACAGGAAGGTGAGTAACCTCCTTTTTTTCATCAAGAGGCGTCCCTGGGGGTGCTCCACATCAGGTGACTACAAGTAATATTTTCTTATGGAGACAGGGACTTTGGATCAGATTAGTATGCCACTTGTAGTACAGCTTTTGCTAGTTTGGTATTCTGGAGGGGTCCTGAGGTAAGTGCATAATGTTTTGCAAAGGTGTTTTCTGAGGACCACGTGGCTGCTGCACATATAATCATGCAGTGGGATTTTCCTCAGGTAAGCAATGGATGTGGCGACTGCCCTTGTGTTACCCGAATCGGAATTGGTGAAGGTAGGTCGTTTAGCGAATAACAAGCAGCAAAGCATTCTGATATCCAATGTGACAATCTCTGTGATTAAATTTGTTTTCCTTTATTATGATCTGCAATGGAGACAAAAAGTCGGGAAGAGGATCTGAAAGATTTTGTTCTGTCAATGTAGCAGGAGAGAGCCCTTCTAACATCTAGGGTGTGCATCTGAGCTTCAAATGCATTAGCGTGGGGTTTTGGAAAAAATACTGAAAGTATATTGTCTGATTCAAATGGAAAGGGGAATGCATCTTGGGGAGGAATTTTGGATGCAGTCACATTGTGACCTTGTCCTTAAAAAAGATTGTGAAAGGTGGTTCTGCCATCAGGGCAGGCATCTTTCTCACTCTGTGGGCTGATGTTATTGCTACCAAAAATGCCGTCTTTAAGGATAGATGGCAATAGGGAACATGCCATCATGGGTTCAAATGGTTTTGTGAGGGTTGTTAATACCAAGTATAAGTTCCAAGGCTCTTGTGGGGGTGCCACCTCTGGGTATAGAGCCTGAATACCTTTCAAAAATTGCTTGGTTACTGGGTGTGTGAAGACTGCGGCATGGAAGGTTGCAGTGGCTGCTAGGTGAACCCTGATTGAGCTGAGGGAGAGATGTGATTGTCTGAGGTGTAACAGGTATTCCAATACAGCAGGAAGTGGAGCATCTTACGGTTGTATGTTGCGAGAGGTTGCCCAGTGAACAAATCGAGTCCATTTGCTCATTTATGTTTTTCTTGTTGAAGGTGCTCTGCTTTGTAAGAGGACATCATGGACTTGTTGAGAGCACTGCAGTTCTATGCCCGTGAACCATCTAGCTACCACGCCTTGAGATGGAGTGTGCGAAACTGTGGGTGAGGATACATGATCCCTGGTTGATATAGAATGTTGGGATTGTTTGGAAGCGTGATTGGTTGATGTATTGCTAGCCTGTGTAAAAGGGGAAACCATGGCTATCGGGGCCAGCAGGGCACAATGAGGGTAACTTTTGCTTTGTCGTTCAGAATCTTTACGAGGACTCTGTTGAGGAGAGGAAACGGGAGAAAAGAGTAATGTAGGAATGCATTCTAGGTTATAACAAGAGCATCACCAGAGAACTCTTTGCCCTTGACCACCCTGGAGCAATAACTTGGGCATTTTTTGTTGATTGAGGTGGCAAATAAATCTATATCTGGGAAACCCCATTGGTTGAATATATCGGTGAGAAGCGCATAGTCGAGTTCCCATGCGTGCTCTTGTGGCAGGGCTCTGCTGAGGGCATCTGCCGTTGAATTAAGGACCCCAGGAAGGTGGCAAGCGGATATGCAAATGTCTCTGGCTAGGCACCAATTCCAAAGTGCTATAGCTTCCAGGCATAGAGTGTGTGATCAGGCACTGCCTTGCCTGTTTATATAAGAACATAAGAACGGATGTACTGGGTCAGACCAAAGGTCCATCTAGCCCAGTAGCCTGTCTGCCGACAGTGGCCAGCGCCAGGTGCCCCAGAGAGGGTGGACCGAAGACAATGATCAAGCGATTTGTCTCCTGCCATCCTTCTCTTCCCTCTTATCCCATGGCCATGTAATTTACACAAGAGCCTTTGGTGAGGGACCTTGTCAAAGGCTTTCTGAAAATCTAAGTATACTATATCTACTGGATCCCCCTTGTCCGCATGTTTGTTAGCCCCTTCAAAGAACTCTAACAGATTAATAAGACAAGATTTCCCTTTACAGAAACCATGTTGACTTTTGTCCAACAAATTACGTTCTTCTACATGCTTCACAATTTTATTCTTTACTATTGTTTCGACTAATTTGCCCGGTACTGAAGTTAGACTTACCGGTCTAAAAGTATCTAAAAGGGTGTTACAAGGAGGAAGAAAAATTGTTTTCCTTGGCCTCTGATGATTGGACAAGAAGCAATGGGCTTAAATTGTAGCAAGGAAGGTTTAGGTTGGACATTAGGAAAAACTTTCTAACTGTCAGGGTGGTTAAACTCTGGACTAAATTGCCTAGGGAGTTTGTGGAATCTTTCTCACTGTAGATATTTAAGAGCAGGTTGGATAGACATCTATCAGGGATGATATAGAGGTGCTTGGTCCTGCCATGAGGGCAGGGGACTGGACTCAATGACCTCTGGAGATCCCTTCCAGTTCTAGTATTATATGATTGTCTGTAATGAAGGAAATATTGCAGGTTCATAGAAATGTAGGACTGGAAGCAGTAATGCCAACTCCGAATG